TAAGAGGCTGCTTAACAGAAATCATGCTGATGTTGAGCAGTTCAGATAATCTGTATCATAGCATTTGCAAATCAGATAAACATAATTTATGATAATAAAGTAATAAAAAATAATAATGATGATAAACTAAAAAAAAGAAGATTTTTATATTATACAGTGATCATTTTGGAAAAATGTTCCCAAGAAGTTTGTTTTTAAATAGCATTGGCATATATTTTCATAGAATGGTATATATCTCATTTTAAAGACACCTACTGTGATAGGTATGAGAATAAAAAAATCCGGCACATAATAAAAGTAAAGTTTTCTTCTTGAAGAGAAAAATGAAAGAAATATTTTAGTGAAAAAAAGCTGAGTATTCAGATTTGATTTATACAAATTTATGAATTGTCAATGAATTCAAGTAACACAATATTTAGTAGCTACACAGCTAGCTGATAAAGAGATGACAGATTGGAATATTGCATTATTTATATAGAATGCTTCAAAAATCATTACAGTACCCTCTGATTATTTGTTTGTTTGTTTGTTTATGGATTTTGCTTTTGCTTTGTTTTGTTTCCTGGGTTATATATTGAAGAATAAGAGGAGAAAATAAAGGTTTCCACTTACTTTTTTTTACTGCCAACTGGTTGCCTCTAAGTGCACTAGGTGCCAAAAATAAAAATTTGACATAATCACCAATGGACTTTTAAGATATCAAATTTATGTAAGATTATTACTCTGCAATGCTTCATGTACAAACCAACATAACCAATTATCACTATTGTCTGGGACCCACACTGAAGAGGTTGTCAGTTTGCTCATCGTACATAAACAGCTTTGAAATACATTGATGTATTTAATAGCATATTATTTTTATGATTAAAAGAGAATAATTCTGGATTGAAGTGTAAAAATATCTCAGAACATACTGTAAGCATTGATACACTACATAAATGCTTTAAGAAAAATGGCATATCTACTTATATATTCAAATATTCAAGTATTGCAATATCACTAAGGAGTAAATTCTATCCAAAGAAATTGAAAGAAAAGAGCTATCTATCTAAAATGATTTGCATCAGCTATGACAGAACGAAAAAACTTCTTCCCATTTTCTTGAACTTTGAGGAAATCACAATGATTTATGGCTCAAAATCATAGCTCTCTCTCAAAATTTATCTCTGGAGTGCTATTAAGACATAAATAAAAGTTGCTTAGTATTTTTTAAAAAGTAAACAAAGTTCCTTATACTACAATTCTGTTTTTTCTTGGTCATGTTCCAAACCATGGTAGGTTGTATCTTTTTCTTTCATTTGCTGCTTTTGGGGTCATTTTTTCATTTATTTTTCAGCTTGGTTCAAGTTATTAAGTTTTATAAGATGCAGTCTCGGCAACTCTTCTCTCACTGTGGATAAAAACATATAAAGTAAAATTCTTCAATGATAATTTGCACTTTCTGTGAACACTTCAATAAAAGTATAATATGACTAATAAGTTATTTTCAGGAGGAATATATTTATGACTTTGAAGTCAATTACTTTTAATTACATGGTCAACTTTAGTCAACTGTAACTACCCAGTACTGAGTCAAACATCCATTATGTGACTAGTTTGCTAGTATTGATTTGGGCTTGAGATATATTCTTACTCACGCTATAACATCTCTCCTTTATGTGATTAATGGCTATGTTTACTTTCTGTAGCTTTCTGCTTCCATTAATCCTATTTTATTTCTCAACTCTCTGGGTTCAAAAGACATAGGTTTTTCTGTAGGAGAATTAACTCTCACCAGTCCCCAAGTAAGACTTATTGAAAAATATCCAAAAGGGATCTTACTGCTGGAAATCAAGACAGATCCACTACAACATGAAAATCTTGCAGGAAACTATGCAAGGTCAGTAGTTCACTCTGAGATTTACCTTTAAGAATGGAATTGTGGTACTTCCCTAAAAAGGTGTTTAAGTAGATTTAAAAAAAAAAAGCATGCTACTTAGAATCCACTAGGAGATCTCTAGGATTTTAAAATATGCAGTTTTCAAAGGAATGAGAAAAACAACATAACAGCAGAAACATTTCATAGTACATTGTAATCTTTCCTTCAGCCCAAGATTACTAAAAAGACTACATATATAACGAGATTTCAGAGAATGTAGTTCTCTGAAAAGTTCTTCTTTTACATAAATATGCAAAACAAGTGTCTGCAAACAAAGAGAAGTAAAAATGAACAGTAACAGCAGATTTACAGAGCTAACAAGCAATAAAGCCCTCTTGTTAGCATAAGTACACTTCCAACTCAACATGTGTTTTTTGCTTTCCTTTTTAAAAATGAAGGTAAGAATGCATTCTGACCTTGGTGAATAAACTGTCAAATTTTAACACTAGAAAATTGCAGTAGATGCAATAAGATTTCATGTTTTCCTTTTATACATCCAAACAACTTTGCTTCTTTTGTATTCAGTAAGTTAGTTTTTGCTGATTAAGTTTTTCATGATACTGGATTTAATAATCAAATAAAGCAAAATATTTCAAATTTTCTCTTAAATTCTGGGTGGTTTTGGATACCAGTGAAGAAGTGTAATGTGCAAGGAGAAGCTGCTAAGTCCATTTGTATTTTATTATCCGGCTGGGAGGACAGCATTAATTTATTGACAGAAATATAGTACGTTGTATATGTATCATAGCATTTTATTTGATGTGTTCAGTGATGGACAATATGTTAATATTTCTTCATTTTAGAATCTTTTACTAGGAAAATATTCAAAGCTTAAAATAAAAGTAGCACAGCCTGTATTTGTCCTTTTCTTATATTCATTTTCTTATTTTCAAATGTTAATAACTTTAAGAATTATTTTATTCAATCTCAGCATAAGCTTATTTATTGCCATTTTCTAATTACAATCAATTGGCTTCTGAAGTGGCTTTGCCTGTTCATGATTAAAGCAAGCAACTAAATTACATCTTCACTAGAGAACGGTTATTTTTGTTGAACACCACGACAACATCTCTTGAAATAATCACTGATTTTTAGATCTTTTTTGTCAAGTTAGACAAATTATTAATATGTTTTTTATTTCGGTTGAACAACATTCCTTACCTTCTCCTTGGAGTCATACAATAAATGTTCTGTTCTAGTAGAGGGCATCAAAGAATCTCTGCAGTGCCTGAGAAATTATTACTTAGTGGTATATTTTTAATTTAGTATTTGAGGATTTTTCCCATTAAATTGAGGAACATAGGTTCACGTTACCCTTAGATGAAACTTTAATGTGATAAGATTTATGCACAAATTCGTTGAGGCAACAGGAGTTAGAAAATAGAGATAGATATTGTGGGGAAAAAAAAAAATAAAAAAAATCATAGCTTTTAATTAAACTCTGATATCTCTGTCCCTCCTGGAGACAAAGCTCAGGATTGTTCAAATGCTCTTAAGACATATTCCAATGTTCACTTGATGGAGCAGAATAAGAACACATTCTTTTGAAATATATGTTGAAAAGTGTTTGCAAAATACTCTAAAGGGAAGCTGGTACATCTGTCAGAAAAGAAGCATTTTATTTAGGAAGGAGGATGTATAAGACAACATAAGCCTTATTTCAATATCCACTACTAGATGACCACTAAAACTTGTTAATCATTCTTTCCTATCTCTCTAATCTTTTAAATGTTTTTGCACCAATATGAAATAATAAAAACATTTGTTGCTTTAACTAAGATGTAACAGAATTTACCAACTGTGAAAGTTATCTGTAGATCTTTCTGTATTTATTATTTGTTTGTTAAACTAATTGACATGCAATGTACACAGTATCATCTGTTAAAGAGAATAACAATATGATTCTATTTATTTTATTTTTTCTAGAAGCATTCCGCTATTTTAGACACCAATCATTCCCTCTGAGAGATTGAGGGTGGCTCAATGGTTTGAAAACAGATCTAGAATAAATTTTCCTGATAGTTTTTTCAAATTTTATATCAAATTGCTGACTTTGAGCCAGTCCCTCCTTCTGCACAAATATGTGTCTTCTCTGCTCACCAGGGGAATGTGAAGGTGAATGGATGGGAATATCATTACAGAGCAAATATCATAGATGTATATTTAAGATCAGGAGATATTCTAGTGTTATGACAAAAAGGTCATAAATCAACATTCTCTGACATTCATAACTGCAGGGAAGGCAATTATGTATTATTATTTCTTGGGTTTCTTTCAAGTGACTAATTTACAGCTATGCTTCTTCACAGAGACCTCTGAAGTTCTCTGTGTAAGTAGTTGCTGAAATAAATATGTTATGCAGTTAACAGATGCAGATTTAGCTGAATTTGCACAGGGAACAGAGAGAAATTATAAAAAAACTAAAGTGATTTGTCAGATTATTGCACTCTTACAATAAAACTTAAGCACCACTATTAAAAAGAAAGCACTTGAAAGTAAAATATGGTCAATAAGGTGATTACAAAAAATCATGTGGGATAGCAAGCGTTTCTTCATGAGAAAGAAAACATACTGCATCATTATTCTGAAATACACATTCTAGAATAGGTCCAGTGATCTATTTATTGCAACCATGAGCACTGGAATAGCCAGGTACATCACGCCAACTGTGTATTATAATACAGTGAAGTGAAGGACAAACATGTATTAAAGGTTTGTGCAGAAGTGCAAGTCAGAGCAGCAGAAAGTAGCTCCTAGCTATTTAACTAGCTGTTGATTTCCATCAATATCCTTATTAGTCAGGCAAGCCGTTACTACGATGATATTCTCCAGTATCAATTAGGCATTATTTGTTTTTCTTTCATGTTTACAGACACAGAGGGAAGGATAAAATCTTAGTTTCCTCAGTAACTCATGGAATTGTTTGACTTGGCTTTAGCCATAGATAGTACTGTAGGCTTAAAGAAATTTTTCTAAATTGCTGAAACCCTAGTTTTATCTCTAAAAGACCGTTATTTCCCATGGCTTGTCAGAGACAACAAAAACTGTTTGTAGAAGTTAGATAAAAACTTTCATCAATAAATTGTTTTCTGACATTAGTATATTTTCAGGTATTTCAGTGCAACCACAGAAGTACATTTGGCTATTACAGCATTTAAAAATCAATAATTATGCACATTCAACTGCTATGGCTCACACTAACATTTTCATTACGTTCATTACATTCGTTATGTTATACAATGGGATGTCATGAAGTTGTTCTAACTCCAGCAGCTCACAAATTCCTAGGCAAAACATGATTCTTATGTAATTGTTAACCTTTCATGTTTTTCATTCACAAATTTTATAAATCCTTAGACACTTAAATCTAATCAAAATTTAAATGAGACACACTGTATTCACACCAATTTCCACAGCAAAGATACTAACTATGGAAGTAATAATTCTTTTTTTCTATGGTCCTACACAAATTCAATAAAAAAAAAAAAGAAGAAAAAGCAACTACAAAAACAATGAAGCAGATTTAGAAGGACTTTGCAGTAAATTAGTAGGGAGATAAATGTTAGATTTAACTACAACATGTTACTCTGGCAGAACTAGTGAAACTGAGAAAAAGTCATTTCCCATTGCTGTATGAAAAAAAAAAAAAAAAAAGAAAGGGACAAGGCAAAAAGCACTGACTTCCATTCCAGACTCACTGTCTTCACAGAACCAACTATGAAACTCCCTCCTTTGCCATGTAAATTGTACTTTTTTTTTCCCCAAAAATTAAATTATGGGCTACATCAGTTAGAATCCATCTTTTGCTTTAGAAGATGGCAATTAAGACAAAGGAGAAGGAAGAACAAACTGCAAAATATTCTAAGCTGGTGAACAGTGACACATTTCTATGGTCCTTACTGAAAATGTCAAATACATAGAAAAAGTGCATGTAGTGTTTCAATGTATGTTGCATGTACTTCCACTATTTAATTTTCCCATAAGTCTTATGAAGTCTTTCAGTATTTTGCCCCTTTATTTCCTGTTAGCCTTGTTGCAGCAGGTAATGTCTCATGTCTTCATTCGCTGTCTTGGTGGAATCTCCAACAACATACAAGGAACTTTGCCTGGTCCCAAATTCTGAGCTCGTTTTCTTCTGTCTCTTTAATCTGAAAAGAAATTGTTTTTTTTTAAAAAAGTGATGAGAGCACGAGGTGGAAAAGCCATTTCAACTTTAAAACAATTGCAGATCAAATCTCTTCTAAGAAAACATTTCTGGGGGAAACCTGTAGAATTTAGATGAGATGCAGTCTTACAGTATTGTTAACTTTTAGTATGGCCTGGATATTTTTCTATTGATTCTTCAATTGAAAAAAAAAAAAAAGAACAAGTTTTTAGAGAAATTACTTGAATTGTCTTTCACAGGTAGAAGCAGGCTACGCTTGCTTGCTTCCCTTCTGATGATTCAAGCCATTATTTATTGATTGACAGTTCTGAACTGCAATATTATTGATATTCAGTATACATTTACTGCAGTCACATCTGACTCCTGAGTTGCTGGTGTTTTTTTTCTTTTCTTTTCTTTTTGTTCTTGTGTGTGTGTGTTCTATTGGAAGAAAGGAATGTTGGGAACAGTGCAAAAGATCAAAGATATTGAAAATATCTTTATCAACCTCTCATTTCTAGCCACCAGTTCATTGCAAAGGCCTCACATTACACTAATAACAGATGGGAGAGTTTATTTACAAAAACATGACCATTATAAAATTCATCATTAAAATATGGCTATACTAACAATATATCAGATTTTATAAATCTTCTTTTGATAGACCACATTCTCAATAACAACTTGTATCAGAACAAGAATATTCATTCAAGTTGGGCACCAAAAACATCTGTCAACACTCAGAGCACAGTAAACGAGTATTCAATAGTTCTGCACAGAACAACAGATTTATCAAGACTTACAAGCTCAAGCATTACCCAGTGCAGCTACACTACAAGCCAATTCAAGAAGATTGCAAGTAAGAGCAAATAAATTCTAGCAGACCTAAATTGTTTCTTTTTGTTACTACATAGGTCACTCAACATGGTCACTCACATAGGCCAACTCAACATGGCTTGTTTTAACTTTGCTGCTGCCACTGCTGAAGTACCCACTGCCTCACTGTGCTCACAGTCCCTTTTTGGTCTCCATAAATGTTCAGCAAGCATCAATGAATTTCAATGGGTGACATTTTTCCACATGGAGGAATTCAATTACACATTTTCCTCTGTACGCAATTCCATGTTTGACACCAATTTGTCAGACTACTCCTCTGCTGCCATCTGTCACTGCAACAAAATGTAAGGGAGTACTGGCTGGAAGGTTCAACCTCTACTGCCATACCACCAACACACACCTCTGATGTCACAAGCCAACAGGATAAAATAGAAGATATTACTTTCAGAGTTTCACTTATAATTTTTATCTCATCTGTAATTAATCGAAAATTTCCTGTGTTTTAAATTTAAAGTTATACATCTCAGATTCTGTCCATATAAATCTCTGCACTTCCACTGAAATTCTATCACAAATTTCAGTGCAATTCCTATAGTTGTTTTTTTTTTTTTTTTTTTTTTTTTTTTTTTTTTTTTTTTTTTTTTTGTGTGTGTGTTTTTCTTATGTAACTTGATCAGGCTTTCAGAAAAGGAAATTCACAACCTCTGTGATTGTTCTTTATTCTAGGAATTTCTCTCAGTCCCTGTCAGTGAGAAAGGGTCAGTCATGCTACTACACATAAACATCTAACAATATGTCATTTGCTTAGAAAACATGTTAGGTAGTTATTTTTTAAAAAAAACAAAACAGCATCACATGTAAAAATTAATTTGTGTTAGGCAAGCTTAGTATAAAGCTTGTACAAATGTTTGTACTAATGTATTAAAAAAAATCAAAGCTATTTTTGCAATGTGATTATGTACAATGGCACTGTAAACATGATGCTACTGTCTACTGATGAACTTGTCACTGATCTTTACAGATACAGTCTAATCGATAAGCCGTACATCAGTAAGAGTCAACAGCTGGTCAATAATTCTTCACCCTGCTGGATACACAAGACGAGGCTGATCAGAAATTTAGCTGTCCTGAGTGAGTTTCACAGGATTTTTAAAAACAATTTCTTTGAAGAAGTGTCCCTTTCAATTACTTTAATTTCATAATGTCCAACAATAACTTTATTAAAAATTCTAGATAAAGTGTTATTAATTACTCCTTATTATTAAAAGTACCTGTGAATATATTAGTGCAATTTCATTATTGTTCCCTAATTTTCTATTCATTTTGCTAATCTACAATATTTTAATATAATCTAACATCACTAAAGCTAGCAACTGAAAGAGTTTTAAATTAAAGAAACTAAATATATCTAAAATATATTAACCATAGTGAATAAGTATTGGCTTACATTGTTCCCCTAGGAACACATACTACATTTTTAAGGAAAATCATGTTATTTGTTTGTAAATATTTCTTCGTTAAATTAGAAACACTTAGTCTGGTGCTTCTGCATGTACTATTTATCTACCATTTGTAAAACAGAAAGAGTGTTTCATTCTAAATTCTATTTCCTAATAAAATTGATACAGCAGAGCTACTAATCAAGACAGTCCATGAGTACATAGATTGGTATTTCTGAATGTTATGCAAAAGAAGACATTCTTGCCAGAACTCACTAGCAATTAGATAAATTTATTTAAAACAAGTCCCAATCTGTAGTGAAGCACAACATTAGAATGTCTATTGACAAGCTAACATATAAGAAATTCCAGTCATTTACAGATGGGTTTTAAGCAGTTCTCAAGCCTAAGCACACTTGACAAGACATAAGTGGAGCATATGTCAGAAGGATTTGACTCAGTTATTCTACTCTGTTTACATGACATAATTCCTCCAAGCAGTTATCTGCTATTGTATCTTCAATACATGTATTATTTGCATTATATGTGACAGTAGTAATGAAGGGCCTAAGGATTCTGTGTAACTGTGTGCTCCGAAACATGGTCTACTCCTGTAGAGAGATGCTGCAATGAGGTCAAGACAGTAGCAACACAATTATCAAAGCATAAACTTGTATTTCTATTACTGTTATTTCCAGTATACTAAATTCTAGAGCTTATACGTAAGTAGGCAATAATAATAATAATAATAATAATAATAATAATAATAATGATAATAAACATGTTTAAGAAGAATTAATTCTACCAGATTTTACACCACAATAACAATAAATGGTTAGAGCTTTAAATTTTCCTACCTTAACATCTTAACATTAAAAACATAAGTATACTAAGGATATGAATGTATCAGGGGTCACCTAAGGCAGGTCTGCACTACTTCTCATAGAAAAGCACAGGCACAAAATCAGTATGGAAAGCTATCCATGCTAACAGGCTAATGCAAGAAGCCTCCTAAAACCAGGGTGAAATGTTCTCTTCATATACCTATCACAATTACTAGGATGTCTGGAGTTTTCTCATTCAATTTTTCTAATCACAGAGAGATTCAAGGCTTGTGAACTGTGAGTTCTTGTACATCTGCTTTCTGTTACATTTTTAAAGATGTCACAGTATTGGAATTGTGAAGATTGTCATATTTCCTGATGGTTATTTTTATTACCTACATGTACGGTTAAAAAATAGAAAGACCTAACACTGTACTGCAATATTTTACTCAAAGAATCCCAGAGTCATACAAAAACATTGGAATGAAACAGTGAAGGAGGAGGAGGGAGGATTGTTACTATATTCAAGAACAACTCATTATTCTGTGTATAAATTTAGCATTTAAAAGAAAAATACTTCTGCACAACAACATATATTTCTAGAATATTACATTTTTATTAAATGACTGATACCTTGTGAATTTAGTAAAGTTTCTGTCTGGGGTACGATTATGAGAGTTGTTCAATTTACATGTGGTTTATGGGTAGAAGATGCACCATAAATGTCAGAGACTTTCCCAGTTTATATTTGTTTCTTGTTTTAATTTCCTATCTATTTTCAACAGAATCAAACCGAGCTGTGTTGTGTGAAGAAAGCTGAGAAGCTAACAGTTCAGCAGCAGGTTGGTAGCTGATGGCATACTTTGATATCAAAATTACTTTAAATGGGGAAAAAACACCACAAACAAGAAGACAACAGAGATAAAGGATAAAGGAAAACCTGTCCTTAGAGAAAGAAAGGAGGAGGAAATGTTACTTTGCAGCTCATCCAAACATTGACTGCAGACATAGTAGAATTTACATTGCATGTGAAGGATACATTTTCAGAAACATCATTAAGAGTGAGTAAGAGAAATCCTAATGATATTTTATACAAATATTTATTCAATTAATATTTCTAATTAGCAGAAAAGTTTCTGTAAATATTTTTTACCTTACTTAGCTATTATTCACAACTCTCTGTCTGAACAGAGCAAAGTATTCAATCTTGCAGGTGGTTTGCTGCAGACTTGGATAAATCCAATTAAAATATACAAAAAAAAACAAACAACCACTTAGAAGTCAGACTGGATTAAAAAAAAATGAAATCAACATTTTTTATTAAGAAAAATATGGAAATCTTTCCCATTGGTAGCCTGTACCAGCTGGCCTTGACAACCTGGCACCCCAGAAAGGATGGAGCAAGAAGTTAATCTCTTGCATTTCTCATTCACATGGTGTAAACAGAGCCAGGTGAAGTAGAAACCACTTCTGCTCCAGTGTGCTGGTGCTCCCTGAGGCAGGCAGGAAGCATCTGACTGCACTTGGGCCCACGCAAAGCATGGTCAGCTCTGCAGTTGTGTGAGCAGTTTATAAGTTTATTTTTATAAAGTTTTATAAAGTTTATTTTATAAAGTTTATTTTTGCTCTCTATAACTTCCTGAAGGGAGGTTGTAGTGAGCTGGGGGTTGGCCTCTTCTCTCGTGTCATTAGTGATAGGACCAGGGGGAATGGTTTCAAGCTACGGCAGGGGAGATTCAGGCTGGACATGAGGAAGTATTACTTTTCAGAAAGGGTGGTCAGGCACTGGGATGGACTGCCCAGGGAGGTGGTGGAATCACTGACCCTGGGGGTGTTCAAGGAAAGACTGGATGTTGTGTTGAGGGACATGGTTTAGTAGGAGCTATTGGGAATAGGTGAACGGT